GATAGTAGAATGGCTGAAACATTCAACAAAGGACAATTTTCTCTCTTCAATGTCTCTTTTAATTTTTTTCTTACGTATTACGCTTAGAGTGACAACTTTCTGAGTGTATTGACTTAATGTTAGGCAGTAGCCAATAAGCATATAGGACATCTCTGTGTGGTTTACCTGATAATAAACATGTTTCATTCTCTTCGACGAACCTGAAATAGTTTAGAACAGCGGTTATTAACTTGTGGGTCACGACCCATTTGTGGGTCGAACCACCCTTTCATCGGGATCGCCAAAGACCATAGGAAAACGCATAGTCACTGAAGATATAAAGCAGTAACGAAAATAATTATATGGTTGGGGGACACCACAACATGTGGAACTGAATTAAAAGGGTTGCCGCATTAGGAAGGTCGAAAACCGCTGAAGGGACTGACACCCCATCGCGCGATATTCTCAAACACAGGTGTACATGTCTACTGCATCACTGTTGACACAACACACACAGAATAAATATGTGTCTCCCTGTCTAGAAACGGCTACAATGACCCAGTTAGCACTTGCTGTGTGACGTAGTCAAAAAAAAAGGCATGCCGTCTTTACTTCTTAGCGCAACAGCTCATTCCCATGTCAGGCTGGATCGACCTGGCCGTCAAGGTCTTTTTATTTGTTCATTAGACAAAACGTGTTTCTAAACTCAGGACTTTTTTCTGTTAGCGCGTGCTAGATTGTGTGTGTCAGTGCGCTTGTACATATGTGTGTGTGCATGTATGTGTTTATGCATGTGTGTGTGAGTGTGTATGTATGTGTGCACGCGCGGTGTGTGTGCGTGTGTGTGTGCACGCGCGCGCGGTTTGTATGTGTTCTATTCTATTTTTAAAAAGGGTAGTAACTTTCGTTTTCAGCTACTTGTTTTGAATTTTCGATTATTCCCCTTAGCATTTAGTGAAATAGCTTTATATCTATATCTAGTACTGAAGGGATTTTAGCACTGTGCAGCCTAACCCAATCGGAATACACAGGGTGTATTGTGAATGATTTTTGTTTCTGGGGAAGGGGGGGGGTGGGTTCGAATTGTGCAGACCCATTGTTGTAGCCACCGTCTGTGGAGTTTATGCAACATACACTGCAATAGTGTGTCTTATTTTGGGTACTGTTTTCCAGATTACAGGTCCTCTATTGACTGACTGACTGACTTTCTACTCCACCAGGACATCACACAAGTGATAAACACCCGATGACACAAAGTGCCACCATGCGGATGAGGATCACCGTGGAGAGATCATAGGTAAATAGGTAGGTCCTCTATTCAGTATCGATTCTATCGAATTCAGTGGATCCCGTGTCTCAGTGTGTGACGCAATTTTTCGTTATTTCAAAGCTCACCCTGGCTCTAGTCGGCGGTACTAATAAAACCTATAGGTTAAACGGGGTTTTAGTGACTTGTGTAGGGTGCTCCTCGTCCAAAAGGTGGCACTTTGTGTCACCCGGTATTAGTCGCTCGTTGTACGGTCTTAGATGGCTGAACGACACCCACAACGATTCTACTGGTTTATGTCTACATCATTATGATAAGGCACTTGAGCATCATGGGAAATGACATCATAAACAATTGAACAACCACATTCGAATACCTGCCACCGTTAATTAAGGAACACTTGCTCACCCATAAATACACTCCTTATTCAATAGTGGACACGGCGATTATTACGGTCATCCCCTTGTGAGATGCAATTTTTAGTTGTTTTTAAGCCCTACCCTGCTTTTGTCGGGGGCCCTAAATCTAGCCCGGCCTGAAATATGGCCTAACATCTAACCGGGGTTTCCCGGACCTACCCACGGGCGATCCTCATCCGCATGGTGGCACTTGGTGTCACCGGGTGTTTATCGCTTATGTAATGTCCTGGTGGATTACATCTTACATACATACATAGTTAACACGATTGTAGCTAAAAACCAGTTACTACAGCAACGGTATATAGCAGCGTTGTTCTAAATTAACGGTTACAAGGCGCTTTAAGCATTTTATAATACACAAATTGTTTTACGGTGAACAAAAAAAATTATTTCAAAACGATTAAAGTCATTAAACAGACACAGTATGTGTTACTTCATAACCGTTCAGCTGCTTCTTGTTTCCATAGCTAGGCGCACACGCCGTCTGGGGGTGATAGGCTCGATTCGCGGCACGGTAACTATAGCTTTCGATTTTTATGTTGTCTAGTGTGTTCTTCTATCTTTCTATTTCTTTCTATGAGTGCCGATCAATACATTTTCTGTTACTTTATTAATATATAATATTTAACGGCCTCAAGGAATCCCCCTCTGTTTATTTATGGGTTTGTACTTGGGAGATTCTTCGAATCACTGGGTGTTAGTCGCTCAGTGTGCAGTCCTAAGGGGGTACAGCTTCTCTTTCTCTCATATAATAAACATTCTGCTTCTTCAACATCCCGGGCTCTAGAGGATCATTCCTGCAGACATAAACCAGCCTCTATTCATCTTCTGTATATGTGTAAATGTGTGTGTGTGCAGGAATGAGTGTGGGTGTATGTATGATAGCGTGCACATGTATGAGTGTGCGTGTGTGTGTGTATACGCCAGTGTAAGTAAATAAGCGTGTGAGTGTAATGTTTGCTTGAATGTCTTGTAGGTATAATACAAGAGTGTAAGCATGTGTGTTTGTTTGATGCTAGGTGTGTGTGTGAATGGAGCCAAGTATTATCATTATATTCTTTTTCAAACTTCTTCTTCTTCTTCTTCTTTGCGTTCACCGGCTGTAAACTGCGGCAGAAAGTTCCCGTTGTTCGTCCACTTCTGGTCTGCAGTCTTGTTTCAGAACCTGAGTATTGCGTGTGCACCCGTTTGACAGATTTGACTCATTTGTGTGCAGACTGTTGGTTCCTTGCCTCTCAGGCAGATGCCCCCCGACCTCGAAGGAAGCTCCCAATTAGTCGACTCTTACGACATGCTTTTGGGTAGGCAGTGGGAAACTGAATGGTACTTTTGAGACATTTCAGTTGACGAGATGAGTTTATACAGATCAACGTCTGAATGGCTCACTTGGCTTCATGGATAGTGTTGTTTTGGCCACAATAAAATCAGCCTCATCATTCTATTGTCTGACTGTATTAAAAGATATAAGGCTTTATCAAAACCATTCTGCAGTGAACAAGTAGAAGACAAGCAAGAGGTGGACAATGATACAAGTGGGAGGATGCCATCAAAAGATGGACAAACAGCAGTCTAGGGAGGATGAAATCCAAGGCGAGAGACAGAAAGTGCTGGAGATCCAATGCAGGCAAACTTTAATGTGGAGATGGCATGTAACTGATTGACTGACTGATTGAATGATTGATTGATTGAGTTATTTACTAGCTATTAAGTTGTAATTAGCTCGCTCCTAGTGCTAAATCAGCGCTTCAATGTCAAGTTTTTAAAGCTAAATCAAATGTATACCTGAACTGAATGTTACATTGAATTCTTCATCTTCTTCTGCTTCTTCTTCTTTGGGTGCGAGCCTTGGTATGTGCCACGTAGATGCTAGTAATTGCGGTGTTGTATATTGTATCAATCCGATTTCTCCTCTTATTGTTTATTCAAAGAAGATTTTAATCCATTGCCGGCTTGCTGGGTCTGTCGCAATTTAAGGGAGTATTTAACAGGATTGATCCCATCACACCTGGCGAGCCAGAGCCCCTTTAACCTTCAGACCTCGCGGCCTCAGTTTTCTGGTGTGCACGGCTTGGGTGCAGGCTCCTATAGTGCTTTTCAAAACTCTAAGTAGCCTTTGATTTCCCATGTCCTTATGATTTTATAATTTACAATTGCACAGGTATTGTTGTTTTCTTAGAGCTGCGAATTTCTTTGATCTTTGTTTGAGTCCTAATTTCTGTACTCCTGACCCTAGAACATATCGTAATTTACACACACGTGTAGATTGTTTGCAGACGAGTTCATATGTACAGCGATGCATTGTGGTACTTTTATTAGCCTATCCCGGATACAATGAAAAATTCTCAACTCCCAGGAGACAAGTGCTGGAGGTCACCACCTTAGAGTGAAACGCCATTAAAACGTGTGCAGTTCAAAGTTTTGAAAAGTTCCCGTTACTCAGTTTACTGTAAGCATGCTAACTGTTGGCTTTGAATCTGTGCCTGTTTTTTCCATATACCGCAAAAAAAAAAAAAAAATACAAAATAAAAACTAAATATTTGTTTAAATCTTAAAAAAAAAAAAAAAAAAAAAAAAAAAAACTGTACAAGCACATGATTACTAACAGGTTACTTGATACATTTCATCAATGCACACCGTACGGTTACTGATTTCTAAACTTGTCCAAAACTTCTGGAAAGGACTATAACAGCATTTCTCATACGATATTAGTTTGAGGTTTGAACACGAATGAACATTATGGAACACGGATGGTAACACATAAGTGCTCCGTTCTTCTTCTAACTCAAGTCTGAGTCCGAAGAAGCTCAGCTCAGTGCACAGGCTCCGAAAATACTTTGGGTAGATTTTTAACTCAAAAGTTTTGCCCGGGCAGCGCCGAGATGCTAAGGGATTTGTTACGTGCGCAAAAATGCACACGGGCGTCCGATCTCACTGCCCAGAGACCAGGGTGAATTACTAGAAGCCCAAGTGCACCTGAAAAAATCCCAGCCCTTCATACGATATAAGAAGTTGTGTTTATTATCTTATAATTTGAAGTTAGCATTATTTCTTTTGTTGTGTGTGTTATAATATAACTTTTCGTCTCAAACTGATTTTTTACAATTCACGAAAAAAAAAAACAGATGACTGTGAAATACACCTTTAGCAAAAGATAACAGAGGCATTGATTGCACTCTTTAGATTAGAAAAAAAAAATACATGCATAAGCAATTTACAGTTCCCACGACTACATGATCTATATAGAGAAAGAGAGAAAATATGCCACATGCTGCTAGAGATAAACCTGGTTGGGAACTTTGAAACTTTGACAAAGTGATCATTTCTCTACAAAACATATGACAGTAATGAAGATGTCTAAGAGCCTGTTGATTGTGGTCTGTCTCGTGGGTCTTGGTATGTATAAAATACATTAACTCTTTCTGCCCCATACAGTTGTTATGTGATTTTATTCTGTTGTATCAAGTTCTACTTGAAAGTGTTGATTATTTCGGTCTGAGGAGTTACACAAGATACATAGTTAGACAGAAAAGGTTAAACTACCAATCGTGGTACAGAGAGTTAGAGTGCAGTTATCTGTTACAGAAGAATGCAAGAACAGTAAGTTGTCTTCGAGAATACATATGGAGAATGCTTGACACCCAAAGATTTAATACTATTGTTTTTCTTCTTTTAACTAAATTTATTTAAATTTAAATGTCTCTCTCACATATGCAGCAAATTCACTGAGAAATGGAAGATCAAATGATTTGGTCATCTAGCAAGAATGCAACCAAAAACAACTACCAATGCAAGTACTACATACGACAAGTACTGAAGTTAACGCAAGAGGTAGCCCAAGGATAAGAAGAACTGATGGCATAAAAGAGTTTCTACATCAACATGGAATGACAATAAATAGATCATTATGGCGTGGGGATAATGGAATGCGAGGAGCTACAAGGGGATCTGGCCGGTGCTCAACACTCATGGGAAAGGCGAGACAGATATACAATCATAGAGTTACTGGTGTCATCGGAGTTGGAACTCTTTGCTTGCTGCTGAAGATAGGAACGGAGCGCTTATGGAGGTGTCCTGAGTATGTTTATTGTTTTTTTTTTTGCCAATTCTTAATTTGCCAGTCTATCTGCCTGCTCACTTCCGAGCACACCCGCATGACATGGATAAAATCGGGACCACTGAAGGGATGCTTGCCACACTGCACGGAGCCTGCCTCTTCTCAGTCTGTGACCCTTGGCTCTATCCACAGCTGCATGCTGGAGGTGTTTCTTGTCTGCAGCTAGTCTGAGATATGACTTTGCTTGCAAAACTTTGAGCCTGTCTGCAATAGTAGATAGTCCTGAGTGCTATGATGTCGATTCTTAATTCAACATTCAACATTGTTTGTTGTCACATGCATATCATTATCAGTGTAAATAATGCCTGTTGTGATAGGCCGATTCTTCCTTTGCATGTGCAGTTTTTAAAACCTACCCATTTATTTATCCCCTCCAATTTTGCTCATAAAATGTTCGCATTTATATATATATATTTTTTTTTTCATCTGCTGCACACCGCTTGAAAACTTATACTTTTTCTGTTCCAACTTCTTCTAGCTTCTTTACATCCTCTTGTAACCTGTGAGGTGCCTCTGGAACTTTATGTAATAGTTTATCTACTGCTCGCTTTGCTCTCCGTGTCTGTTCTACTTCTTGGGTCCAGCATGCAGGCTGCACAAACTCCAAGAAGGGTACTGGTCTTCTCAGACTTAAAAGCCTTGCGTGATCTTACAGCCCTGATCTTGCTAGCATTAGAAATGAAGGATGAACAAGGCATATGGTCACTCCCATGATCACCTAGGACAGTGGTCGGCAAACTCATTAGTCAAAAGAGCCAAAAAATCAGCAGCACGACGATTTAGATTTTTATTTGAGAGCCAACTTTATTATCAAGAACATTTCAAGAACAATGGATTGGAAGTCAAAACCGATTTGTGGCCGACTGGCCGAGCCGCTCTCAGGTCGCTAAAGAGCCGCGATTTTCCGACCACTGGCCAAAGACGCTCCATTTTGTGTCCAGCATTGCTGACTGGGTAACAAACACAAAATTAGTTGCCATGTCTGCATCACCAGGTCTCCTTGCTATTCTAGCTGGCCTACTGTCGTTTATAAAGACTACGCCTGCCTCCACCATAGCCTCTGCTAAAGTATTTTCTTGTCTACTTTCCCCAGTATCGTACCATGCTCAGTTCCACGTATTTAAATCCCCACAAATTTGAAGCCCATTGCCTGTTAAGATTTCTTGGACAGCAAAAAAGAGCAACCAAGAGGTTTTAAAAGAGGCGGGAGCCTAAAGACAACTTATCACAGACATCAGAAGGAGACAAATATTATTTTTCAGCCATGTTATTGGAAGAGGTAAAAGGAAACATGTTGTGACCACTTGGAAGATCTGTGGAAAGAGAGTTAGAGGAAGACAACGAGAGAAGATCCTTGACAGTCTTGTTGCATGGCATGAAGGTGTTTCAGCACACGAACTGATACATGCTGCAGGAGATCGCGGATTGTGGAGAGGCATGATCGCTGAAGCCAGTCGGCAAGACACATGATGATTTCATCCAACTCTTTAAGCTAGTCCGGTTGTTTCTCAGTGACAAGAGAGTCATCAGTAGCGTAAACATTTACTAAATTCCAGGTTTTGCCCCCATTATCTCTGTATACCCTGAACCTCTTGATTACTATGATTTCACTGGCCCAGGTCAAGAATCCCACGCTTCACCCCATTCTTCACCAACGGACATTTCCTTTGTCTTCCCTGTCCGGTAGGATTTATATAAAAAATGTATCAAGGACGTCAGCTCTGTGGCTAAGTCGTTGCGAACGCTTCGTAATGCCGGGGTGCCGGGCTCGATCCCAGCTGCGTGCCATGCGCCTTGCGTTGGTTTCGACAGTGGTATCAGGGAGCCGACCGTCCAGAGACAATAGCAAACTACTGGACGTAAATTTGCCTAGAGAAACCACACAACAGCCAGGGGCAGCTAGGGTTGGTTCTGCAACGTCCTGTAAAGGATACGCAACTAACCTAGCCAAATCCAGGACACTCGTATTTGTCTATGTTTTGTTTTTCTGAAGCATGATGATATCATAGTCATAAAGCAGCCTCTCCAGTAAAGTTCCTCACTGCTTGACACTACGACAATTTCAGTAACCCACTCTAATATGCTTTAATCACTGACACTCCGTTTTTGGCCTTACTCTCCGGACTCCGGCTGTCCGATTCCTGCGCCTTCTTACCTCTCCATTTCCTTGTCTTATCCTCTTCTCGCTCTCTCCAATGCCACCTGAGGATGGTATCAAAAACAGAGCACCCACTTCGTAGCTCCGGCGAAGATTCTTTTTGAAATTTATTAAGTATAAAATCCATAGGAAATATTCTTTCAATGCAGGAAGTAAACAGTCTCACTGGTATTGCCTGCTTGCTAGGAAAGAGGCAGAGGATGTCCTCACGGAGTCCATACACACCGCCCCACCCGCTAACCAGACGCTCCATGTTTACGACTGTATACCTCACAGACATGGCCTTTACTCGTTATTCGTTCTATTCGAATTTTTCGTTACATTGAAGCCCCACCCTAGCTGTTGCCGGGGCCCTGATATAACCCAACCTATGAGTTGAACGGGGTTTCTGGGACCTATCCACAGGTGAACCTTATCCGAATGATAGCACTTTATGTCACCAAATGCTTAGCGCTCAGTATGATGTACCCTCGTCGAAAGGTATGATCGGCCAGCCCAGTTGGCAAAGGCACTTGATGATGATGATGTAATTATTCATACATGCTTTTTTTTCATGTGTGTCCCATGATTCTATTGGTCGTGGTATACAACTACACATGAGGGAAATCTATAGAAGACTCATTCCCATTCTAATACGGAATGCAATTTTTCTTTAAATCAAAGCCCCACCCCGGTTGTAGTGGGGGCTTAAAATAATTTAACCATTGACTAGGATTGTTGACTGACTTTCTACCCCACCAGGACATCACACAAGCGATACACACCCGATGACACAATGTGCCACCATGTGGATGAGGATATCCCCGGGGAGAGGTCCCAGAAACCGCGTTCAGCAATTAGGCTATATTGCGGCCCCTGGCAAGAGGCAGAGTAAGGCTTCAAATAACGAAACATTTCGTCCTAAAAAAGACGACAAGTATTACTACGATTTTTGGGACTCATTCGAATGGTGGCACTTTGTGTTACTGGGTGTTTGTCGCTTGTTGTACTATCCTGGTGGGGTTGAACGACACACAAACTGTACATGAACTCAGTGAAAAGCGTAGACAAGGTATGTTGTCAGCTAGCAGCATATATTTTTGAGGATTGCATTGACTTTACGACGGAATAATTTACTAATTCACCCCCACAGCCTATCTAGCGATGTGTACATTAGTTTCTGATAAGCTGTTGGCGACAGCGCACTGTCGTTGAAAAAGATTTCGAAAATGTTTGATTATTTTTGTTTCTTAGTGCATAAATTATGAGATGCATTTTAAATTTTAAAAATTTTTTTCTTTTTTAAAATGTATTTAGTCTAACACATTAATAGTTTTCAGGAAAAAAAAATACCAAATAACCGCTTTAGATTTCGCCTTCGCTTTCAGTACGCATATATATATATATATATATATATATATATATATATATATATATATATATATATATATATATATATATATATATACAGTTAATGATCAAAGCATGCAATATTGTCTAGTAAAGAGAAGGTCTTGTTTACATTCATCAAAACGTTATTAAACACAATTAGAACTCCCCAGGGATGTGAATAATTTTATTCTGTTCGCCTTTGTTCCAAGATTGACTGGTACAGATTTCAAACTGGGACGACCTAAAAATGAAGGTCAGAGTTGAATAATTCCTCTTGGTGTGAATTCGAGACTAAAGTACAACAGGCCGGTGAAAATAACATAATAACCACTGAGTAGTTGCGGTTCCTATTTGAAAAAAAAAAAATAGGTTCGTCGCATATGTTTTTATCAATGCAAAATGTATACTGTTAATTTCATATTGCACTTGCTTTATTTTAAAATGTTTGGTTTTGGTTTTTTTTTTTCTTTCAACCAGCATTTGCTCAAACCATAGACAACTGTCCAACCAGCGTTCCGAGGGACCAGTACACGGTAGTGTTCGGCAATCAATGCTTTCAGTTCGTGTTGTACCGGACCAGGGACTACCCAGATGCACTGAAAGACTGCCAGTCCCGTGATGGGACTTTGGCACTGACCAAGACAAAGGCTGTCGAGCAGTTTCTACAAACACAGGCTGTGACCTACGGTCTGCAGGAGGCACTGTGGATCGGGCTGAATGACAAAGCCACTGAAAACACGTTTGTGTGGGAAGATGGGACAGCTTTGGATGAAGCCGAGTCCAACTGGAGTGACGATGAAGGTCCGAGAACTGGAATCATTCAGCACAACCTTGAAGATTGTGTTGCCACAAATACCGGCAAGAATGGGCAGTGGGAAGATTATCACTGCGACAATGAATTCTTCGGACTGATTAATTATGAAAAGCATTACATCTGCTCTTTTGATCTTATCCCAAAATAATTGTATCATATGTACACTTTTGACTGCCCAATGTATTAAACCAATTATTTCTACTGGGTTCGTGTTATTCTAACTTGATTTTCGCATTTGTATATGTCTATTATGCGCGGCATAAATTGATCGGCAACACCTCAGGTGTTCAGAGTATTGACTTTTACAGCATGTAGTATGACACTTCTACTGCTACTTCTGTGGCAGTTGCTGTGCCTACTACTACAGCTTCGGTTGTATTAATACTACTGCTGCTGATATTGCTGCTAGTACTGCTGCTATTGTTACTTTTACTACTACTACTGCTTCAGTTAGCAATACTACAACTTTGTGTGACTTATACGATATAATTACTACTACCACGACCACCACCGCCATCATTATTATTATTACTGCTGCTGCTCCTACCACAAGACGTGTGACTTAAAGGTGAAGACCACTTAGTAAAAAACACTGCACACATTTTTTTTTTAAATTTAACAAATGCTTACAGATTTAAACTTGCCGATCACGACTATATCAAAGAAAATGATAAACTGGCTACAGTTTCTGAGAAATCTGAAGAGCAAAATATTTTTATACAATAGAGTAATGGGTATTTTATTATACATATACGCTTATGCACCCTCACCCCACTCCCATTTTTTTTATTTTTTTCACCCCACCCCACCCCCCCTCCCCCCCCCCCCCCCCCCCCCCAAATAAAATGACACAAAAAAAGTTATTGAATTTTTTTTTTTTTTAAACGATGCCACATGTTGTGTTCATCGCTAATTGTTTTGACTGTCACTGAGCAAGTAACGTATAATCAGTATACAACTCTATCATGGACACATGATACGTACCAGTACAAGACCGCTTGTATTTCCTACATCACCTTGCCCGACATCAGTGAAGCTACTCAGGATAATTTCTGACGAGTGCCCAACAGTAGTCAGCCAGCGTGGAAGTGGTCCAGTTTCCTTGGTATCTTTTCTCAATTGTAACAATGTCCTGGTGACAACACTTGCGATGCTCATCAGAAACCATGCCACAGTTATTAGAAGGAATGTGTGGCGCAGATGACCCACTGGCGCAGCTGAAGGGATCATCAAAAAATGATGAAGGCTGCAATGTGCTGTGCTAGGGGTATGTTTATGTAAGCCACATTGCTATCTGAGAATGCTTTTATTCGCTGAATCACAACATATCATAGGCACGCATTCTCTCGTCCTCGTGTTCGTTCTGCTTGGCTGATTTCCGACGGCCTGGTCAATCTTCTCACACACTACTTTGATCCATCAGCGTCTTTCGAATCGCACATCCATCCTCTAGCAAAACCTTGTTCCTGGTGTTAGGACATGTAGGAAACATTCATTCCTTCTCTTGAACCATACAAGTATTCACAATTCGCCCATTCTCCTCAGGCGTTCATTCATACGACCTTTCGCAACCAGGTCCGAACTTCAACTGTTTTACTCCCGTCTCTCGGTTCCCGTCTTCCGTTCCGGTCTCACGCTTTTCTTGTATCCCTTCTTTCGCTCACCATGGGATACTCGAGACCCACTTATTTCGTTTTTCTCTTGTATCACTGGTCTTCTGACCTTGTCCTCCCCATCGGGAACTCTCTGGGATTTCCCCGGGAATTCAAAACATTACAAAGGCTGATGAACAGTGGGTATCAGTTCTTCTTCTCTCTCAAATACAAACTTTTTCAATGAATTTTTTTTGGAATGTTCGGATTGGGTAAGACCTTCTTTATGTGAAAATATTCGGGTACATTAGAGTTCATTTCTGCTTACATGTGACACCCAACTTTCATAGGTGGGACCATGCAGAAATAGCAGTCATTTACGTGACTCTTGGGCTCTATTAAAGCCATAGAAATTTCAAATGGCATGTTCCCCTTCAATCCATTTTAGAAGTTGTCTTACACAAGTACAGCAGCATATGTGTGCACCCACATGTCATGTCCTGGTCCCCAGTCTTGCATCTGATTTAACAATGTTTGTCATTACTGATGTGATGACCTTTCTTCTGGCTTGCAAATGTCACTTCCACACGTATATCATAAATGCTATCTGCACTGTTAACAAACTTTCGAGGCATTCATAGTGCTATATTTAAATCTCGTGGATGAAATTACTTATTGACACTAACAGATAATGCTTTATAGTAATTTTTGCGTTGCTTTTGGTCAACAATATTTCGCTTGGTAGATGTGTAGTTTGGGTGATGCAATTTACGCATTGTGTTGAATTCTGCAGTTGAAAAGACAGTGTTTTAAAATGCTAACATTCCTACTACATGCAGACTGAGTAGTTTATATAAGGTCCGACAATTAGGTAATGAGACTGATTTGATTAAAGCCAAGACAAAAATGCAATCTATGAAGCAAAGCATACAATTCAAAGAGGCACCCTTCATCTATGATCTGGCAACTTTTCATCGCTGCCTGATAAGCAGACAGCAAACAAGCCGCCATTTTGATGACCTAGTCAAAGGTACATTGTTACATAATCAGCATGGAGCAAAAAGCCAACATTAAATTTTGTTTAGAACTCAGAAAAAGCGCAATTGAGACAGCTGAATTGATGCAACAAATTTATGGGGATAATTGTTCATCTTGTGCATACATCTGAGGTGGTATTCACGAATCAAAAGTGGTAGGGAAGTTATTACTTATGCAACCATACCTGGACGCCCTATTTCTGTTCGTAATGAGGATCTCATTGCAAAAGTCAGAGAACGGATATAAGAAGTTAATTTTTTGACTGTGAGGATGATGATAGATGAATCTGGTATTAACTGGGAGACCAATCGTAAAATTTAAGTGCAAGATTTGGGCAAGAAAAAAAAAGTTACTTGCTGGTTTGAAACTTCTTCATGACAATGCACTGGCTTACCGGGCGGTAAGTGTACGAGAACTTTTGGCCCTAAAATGAGTGTGTGTTCTCAACCATGCACTCTATTTGCCAGATTCGCTACCTGTGATTATTTTTTATTCCCAAAATTAAAGTTACATTGAAAGGACGTTTCTGTGACGATATTAATGACATCCAAAGGGCTGTAACATCGACTTCAGGGACCAAAACAACAGAAGGACTACAGATCGTTCCAGTGTTTGTTAGATCGTGCCACTGCCTGTATCAATGCACAAAGGGGTTACTTTGAATAAAATACAGGTTATATCTTCAACTGTTGATGATTTTGATTTTTATGGAATTAGTCTCATTACTTAATTGTCGGACCTTGTACGTGACAGTCTCTGAATCTCCTAAAGAAGAGTCAACCCACAGACAAGCGTCTAGCCTCTATACCACGGCGACCACTACTACCATGCCTGTATTTAGGGTGTATGACGGCAGTTTGCAATCACTTTGTAACGCCCCTCTTCCCTCAGCTAAACTTCAGCATTGCTTGTTGTTAAATGTTCCCCTTTAGACGTGCATTCAGTAGGATTACCATCTCAAGGATGAAAAGCAAACAGGTCCAAATCCCGAAAACCCCGTTCAGCCATATAGCCATTTGGCGCAGTTATATTGGAACACCCTGTCTAATATCGGTAGATTCTTTGAGGCCTGTACAACTTTTGGGCTTACCGTCAGCACGGAAAAACCCGAAATTATGTGCAAGGTAAGTGTAGACTTAACCGACCATTTTGGTAAGCGTCAAGAAATTAACGTGTGTAAACAGATTAACGAACCTATGTAATACACTGGCTTAAAATGGCATTCATAATCGTCGATGAAGTAAACACTATAATCCCCAAAGGCAATTGCTCATTTAGCAGACTATGCACAAATGCCTGGCATCGAAGTGGCATCAGTCTGCAACCGAATTAAAGGTATAAAGAGCTGCAGTTCTTTCAGTGTTGCCGTATACTTGTGAAACATGGACTGTATACAGACGTCATGCAAAGAAAAGCAACCGCCCCCAAACCATCTGTCTGAAAACGATACTGAACATCAGGTGGCAAGACAGGGTCCCTGATACTGTTGTACTGGATTGAGCTGGCATTCCTAGCATCGATACCATCTTGATGCAGTCACAGATTCGATAGGCAGGTCATTCCGTCCGCATGCCAGACCATCGGTTCTAAAAAAAAAAATAATCTTGTATGGTGAGATACTGGAAGGTAGACGCTCTCAAGGGAGAGAGAAAAAAAACGCTTCAAAGACGCATTAAAGCTTCACTTACAGTTGTCAGTATAAACACTGAGACTGGGTGGCTGCTGCACAAGACAGGACGAAATGGCGAACATCTATTAGAAGAGGCGCTGCGACTTGCGAGGCATCTAGAAAAGGGTCAGCTGAACAATGAAGATAGGCAAGAAAGACCCGTATAACGGGCCCTTTACCGACAGACACTGGGAGCTGCGTGGTCTCGAGGCATGGTGTCTGCCTCGAGTGCTAGAGGTTCGGGGTTCAATCCCCGGTAAGGACTGGGATTTTCTCACGAGGACTTGGACTTCTAGTAATTCCCCCTTGTCTCTGGGTATTGAGATCGGACGCCCGTGTGCATTGTTGCGCACGTAAGAAAAAATCCCTAGACAGTTGGAAATCAAAAAGCGTAGCCTAGCGGCGCTACCCGGGCAAAATTTGTAGTTAAAAACCTACCCAAAGTATTTCAGGATCCTCGCAAGTGCTACAGAGCCTGTGCTCTGTGCTGATCACCACAAACAGTTATAAAGCAATGATTAATCTACTATTGATGGGCTGTCTTTGCAGACTACCACAAGTATGGAGTTATTATTTTTTTCTAGTTTTAACTCCAATAAAATATGAAATCTTAACTAAATACACGATTTAAATATATATATATACATACATATATAGTAGTGCTGTACCGAATAGTGATTTTCACTATTCGGCTGAAAACGAATAACGGGACCAACTATTCGGCCGAATACGAATACGAATTGTGTATAGTGTATAAATGTATTTTAAAAAAACACACACACACACATTCATAATGTCAAATGTACGCTAAACTTTTACTTCACATAAAGTAGCACAGAATAGTCACCTTCTTCTTCAGCATTCTGAGCCCTTGAGGTTTACTGCTGCAGATATAACTCGTCTCCATTCTTCTCTCTGGCTGGCCTTCTCTTCACAATTTGTGACACTAGTTGTTCGCAGGTCTGGCTGAACATATCTCTCAATCTTCTTTTTTGTCTGCCTCGTGGTCTACGCCCATTCCTCTCCCAGGTGTATACAGTTTTACTTATCTGTCATCTGACATTCTTTCCATATGCCCCAACCATTTTAATCTGTTAGCTCTCATGATGCCAGTGATGAATGATGATTTAAACAGATTATGTGTTACCTTGTTGTTTATCACTCTCTACTCCCCGCTGTTAGCATCTTTGATGGGTCCAACGATTTGTCGCAAGAATGATAACTAATAACAAGTATTATAACAAGTAACTAAACCTGGAAATTGTCACTGACAGCTTAGTTAATGCATGAAAGCTGCATTAGCTTTTAATAAAACCAATCGTTCCATGTGGTGAGTATTCAGGCCGTGTATGCAGAAGCGAGTGTAAGGTAACTACTATTCGTATTCGGCCCGACCGCAACTATTCGGCCAATTACCGAATAGTCAATAGGTCCACTATTCGGCCCCGAAGCGAATACGAAGCGAATATTCGGTACAGCCCTAATATATAGTCGAAAATGTATAAATTATACTGAAAAGAAAAATATATCGTGAATACACCAAACGTAATCATAACAGTTTGATATTCAATCCTTTAAAAAAAATATCGCAGAAACTTCCAGTTTAGTCAGTCAAAAATATGTGGTAGTAATATATAGTTTAATAATCATTATATCAGGCTTGTGTTCTCAGCACTCTGCTTTATGGCAGTGAAACTTGGTCAACTTATTCCCACCGGAAGAAACGACTAAATAGCTTTTACACGCGATGTCCAATATATACTTAGCATTGAGTGGCAGGACAATATTACTAACACTGAGGTACTGGAAAGAGCAGGTATTACAAGAGTCTGCTCAATGCTCAGTCTTCGAAGGTTCATGTAGTTGGGTTACATCTGCATAATGGAGGATGGCAGAGTGCCTAAGGGCATCCTTTTATGGTGAACTAAAGACGGGTAGAAGATGTCGAGGCCGACCTCTGTTACGATATAAAGATGTGTGCAAACGGGACGTGAGTGATACAGGTACTGAGGTTGGCTCGTGAGAACAAAATGCCATGGACCGTGTTGTGGGGAAGGGTCATATCAGGAAGGGAATGAGAATGAAGGAAAACGTGATTGCAGACAGGATGAGAGCTGAGCATCTGAGGGAAAAAAAATGTAAATACAAATGTTGACAATAACGATCCCGAAATCACATACTGTAATTATGGAAGATTTTTCTTAACGCCGGCGAGTCTTGCTAGTCGCACTTGCCATTGCAATGGACTGTGAGTCCTATGCCTCTTCATAGCGCAGTATATCACTATCTTCTGGAAAGACGGAAAGGTGCCAGGATAATTAAAATTATTCTTCTAAGCATAAGGAACTAAAATGAAATGACGGGTTTTTCACTGTTTTATCCTCGAAATCAAGACAGACTGTGTTTGATTCTATGTTGAGCACTCCAAGACTGACAAGTTGTTGTTGACTCTGTGCTCTCCGTAGATAGTTCTTAATCCATTTTAAAACTGAAAACAACCTTTCAGCTGAACAAATTGTTCATACATTTCATATAGTTTCACTGAGCCAGGAGAGAAGTGGGTCAGAGTACCAGAAGAGAAGTCTGACCTGTGTAAGACTATGAAAACATTGGGCTGGGAGTGCAGAGAGTGGCCAATGGGTGCTACGGAGATGGAAGTCAAATAATTGATTCATGACAATTCACGCCCAGGTGATCTGATTATCTATACAGATGGTTCGGTGTTGAAAGGAAAGAGAAATGCCGGGTGATCGTAGCGAAATCCAATGAAAAATCAATAATGCAAGACTACTTAGTATACAACACCACAAAATCTAGCATGAGAATGAAGGTAACTGCAGCTCTGCGGTGAATAGGGAAGAAGATGCATACACATGTCGTAATTGTAACAGACTCCGAAAGCATGCTGAGAAAGGTGTAGACAGGGATGCTCGGAGCAAAGCGGCAAGCTTCACTGGGAAGGTCACGGGTAGAGAACATACTTTGGATCTTTTCTCCAGGCAATGCTGGCGTAGTGGGTAATGAACAGGCCGACAGTTTGGCTGGATCAGCACCACTGGGTGGTGAAATGATAAACGACAAGGCAGATGTGGTCAAGGCCCTTTGGGAACAAGCAACCAAATCAGTAGAAAAACAAGATTATTATGACCTGGAGAGATGAGGAACATGGCTGCCACCAGAGGGTTTGGTCGGCTAACTACACTCAGAGGAAAGGCAAGATGGACATATAAACAAATTGTGACCAGTACAATCAATATTGGAATTCTGCTCTGGCTGCTGAAGGTGAGGACGGAGCACGCATGGGAATGCCCCTAATGCTGTGATGTCATTTATTTACTCAATTCAACACATATTATTTCAAATTAGGGCTGTACCGAATAGTGATTTTCACTATTTGGCCGAATACGAATAGAGGGACCAACTATTCGACCGAATACGAATACTAATAGTGTATCATCATCAGGTGCCTTGCCGACTAGCATGGGCGATCATGCCTCTCCATAAGCTGCTATCTCCTGCAGCATGTATCAGTTCGTGTGCTGACACACCTCCATGCCATGCAACAAGACTATCAAGAATCTTCTCTCTTTATCTTCCTCTATGCCTACTTCCACAGATCTTTCCAGTGGTCACCATATGTTCCATTTTTCCTCTTCTCTTAATATGGCGGAAACAAAAATATGACTGTCTCCTGATGTCTGTGATTAGTTTCTTCGGGCTCTCGCCTCTTTTAAAACCTTCTAGTAATTTTTTTTTTTTTTTTTTGCTGTCTAAGGTATTTTAGGCATTGTTCTGTAAAACCACATCTCTGAAGCCTCAAAAAATTGTTTGGCCTGCCTACCGATTGTCCATGACTCACAGTCATATGTTAAAACTGGATGTATGTAGCAAGCAAGAATTTTTTTTTCTAACCTTTAATGACAAAGACATATTGCATAAGATGTTCTTCATTTTATAAAATGCAGTTTTTGCCTATCCTATTCTGTTTCTTATTTCAGTAATGCATCTTCCATCTGATGTTATCCATGTGCCCAGATACTTAAATGTCTGTACTTGTCCCAAAATAACACCATTGACGTTTATTACACATTTAGGAATAATTCTTTTCTTTTATATCACCATTACTTCTGTCCTCCCACTATTCAAACTGAGGCCCATTCTTCCACTTTCGAATAATGTATAGTGTATAAAATAGATTTAAAAAAAAAAACTTTTATAGTGTCAAATGTACGCTGAAATTTTACCTCACAAAATGTAATACAGAATAGTAAACATTTAAAAACATTTTTTGTTTTGCATCCTTCAGTCAGTCAGTCTGTGGCAACTAATACCTTGGAAAGAAAGAAAGATGTGTGATGTGGTCAGCATCACGCCACCCGACTGCACCCGGTCCCCAATCAAGGCTGGGTCGACCTGGGAGTCAATGTCATTTTTGAAAAACGTCCAGCTCCACCAGGGAGCGAACCCACAATCGTCTGATCCGCACGCGAGCGTCTAGCTGCTACGCCACGGCGACTCCCTTGCCTAGATAATCTGGCGCTTAAAAGCCGAGAGGAGGGCGCTTATTCTCTCCGCTCCCTCTACCCCCCCCCCCCCCCCCCCCCCCCCCCACCTCCCCCACCCTCCCTCCCCCAACACACAAATGTTTCCTGGAGTTGGCACCGCCTGTGACACCCTCAGTCTGGCAAGTCAAACTGTTGGCCACATAATCTGCCAGCTCAACGCAGGATTTTCAACCCTCCAGTAGAACGGACGATGCTATCAGAGATGATACTCTGTCAGGAAGGTTTGACGTCAACGGTTTATCATAACCAAAATACTAGGAGCTTTTTTAATTAACCTCAAATTAATTGACTCCTATTCGTTTAGCTGGGGCGTGGGGTTGGGGGGGGGGGTGGGGGGACAACAAATTACCTTGTCTAACAGACACGATTTAGTGGGGCTTTTTAAAATATACTTTTTTTTTAAAGAATAAAGTCCTGCAGTCAGCATTTCGTGATTTCCTTAATTACAACACAGTCAACATGTGCCTGTTCTCATGACACGTAAAATTGAGATAAGTGTTGTTTAAACCCCACAGGAGACACTTCTCCTGTAATTACATGTTCATTCCTAAACTATTCAGTCAGCCAACAATGTCTCCACTGTTAGCTATTTTGTGTGTGGCATTCCATGCTGCCTTCGGTAAGTTGTCATGGCTTTATATATATATATATATATATATATATATATATATATATATATATATATATATATATATATAGCAAGCATGTCGTAAAATGCGACAAGTTACGGATGTAGATTTAAAGTTGGAGTGCAGCTTCCATAGAGACAAGAAACTAACTGTCTGTATATAAAGGCCAGATATGTTTTTTTTTTTTTTAAGTGTGCATGCAAAATTCAAGATCTGGAACAAGACTAAAGTTCACAAGTGTGCGAGAAACAGAAGCTTTCCGCTGGAGGTTACATCCGGCGAACGATAAGAAAACGAAGAAGACCATAATAATTCAATAATTATTTAATATGTTGTTTGTTTGTCCGTTACGTGTCATGTTGGCCAATCTTGAATCCGCTAGAGTGAAATCTATTAATAGTAAAATGGGTGAAAGGATTGTACGGGCGATGAAGCTGGATTATTGTGAGGAGGAGTTGCACAATTCGTTGATCTCATTCTCTCGTCAGTATCCATCTAAGGGCAGTGGCAAGATGAATCTAGGAATGGTTCCAGCTTCAGTGAGTGACCACGACGTTCGGACGTATATTTAAGATAACCAGGATGTTTGGATGTTTATTTTATGCAACTAGAACGTTTTGACGTCTGTCAAAGGAAATCAAAATGTGTTGCAAGTCTATCTAATGTAACCGTGACGTTTGGACGTCTACCTAACGTAATCAGGACGTTTGGATCTCTGTCTAATCTAGCAAGGACGTTTGCACGTCTGTCTAAGGTAACAAGGACGTTTGAAAGTCTGTCTAATGTAACAATGATCTTTGGATGTCTATCTAATGTAGCCGGGACTTTTTTTATGCTTTATATTTTATTTCTACACTTTTAGCAATTGTTTTACAGTTCTAGCATATTAGATTTCGAAGTCAGCTACATGCGATCTGGTAGAATTTTATTCGACAAAAATGCACATAAGGCTATAAAAACTTATGACTAGCAGCATATACTCATTTAGCCGCCGTATAGTATTGGCTATAAATCCTGCTTACTTGGGATAGACCTGGTGCAAAAAGTCGATTCTCTTGATTTCGAGCCCTTAAACCTGACTCTAATAACTCCTGGCATACTAGTACTGTCCCAGTAAGTTACCCCTGTAGCTGGTGAACGTTTTTCTGCCTTTTCTTGGTGGAAAGTTTTAGCTGTTCATCCATATCTAGACATTTGCATATCTGGCTCATTCGTGTGCACACTTCTGGTTCCTCGTCTCTATGAAAGCACCCCTAGGAAGGAAACACCTCTAATTAATCTACTTTTACGACATGCTTGTTAGGGAAGTCGGTGTCTAGGGCTTAGGCGTAGCGAATGGCTTTGTAATGCTGGGGTGCCGGGTTCGATCCCTGCTGCGGACGATTTGCCTTGCGCTGGTTTCCACAGCGGTACCGAGAGCTGACCGTTCAGTCGCAATGGCAAACTAGTGAACTGAAAATTTGCCTAGAAAACCCACAACGGCCAAAAAGTGCTGTGGTTGGTTCTGCAACGTCCTGTAAAGGATACGCAACTAACTTCTGTTAGGGGATGTAGATTTGCCCCCTTCATCTCCCAGTGGGGCCCCGGAATGCACACAGGGAATTTGAAGAATTGAATTGCTTCTATTCACTGAAATCTATACATCTGACGAGTGATTTCGTTTATTAATATAAAACGATTTTGTTTCTTTATGTTTATGTCTAAGCCAATAAATATGTTTTGATATTTATTACATTTATGCATACAATAATTGCACTGTATTTATGCTCCACCTTCTAATCCCATTCTTAAATCTGCAGCTGCTACTAACAGCAGCGTAGAGGACTGCCCTAAATCTCTCACAAGGAATGAATACCTAACTGCTTACAACGGAATCTGCTACCAGTTTGTCCTCTACCGCAAAAGAGATTTCATCAGCGCCAGAGAAGACTGCAGCACTTATGGAGGTGTCCTGGCTTTGGCTAAAACTAGAGACATCCAGACTTACCTACAAAACCAAATTACCAGTCGTGGAGTCCTCGATACAGTCTGGATAGGCCTAACCGACATTGAAAAGGAAAACACTTTTGTGTGGGAAGATGGGTCTCTTCTGGACGACGCAGCGTCTAACTGGGCTGATGGGTCAGGCCCACGAGAAGGAGCTATCCAGCATCGTCTAGAGGACTGTGTTGCCATGGACACCAACAGAAACGGCATCTGGGTTGACTACCATTGCCAGGACGAATTTCTTGGTCTGCTGACGTATGAGAAGAATTATGTTTGTCAATATCGGGCAAATGTCAGATCAGCCATTTAATTAACTGGCTATCCCTCATAATAAGTTAATATTCCAATATCTTATGTGACTGTACGTAAATTTAGAGTGTAGACACGAAACTTAAATAACATTCTAGGTCATAGCTTTTCAAACTTTCGTGACACGTTAGTGTATTTTCTACGGTGTGGAGGTGGGTCGCGTGCAGGGGTGTCTGTATCTAAGCTATAAAACTGAAAATCCAAGAATTTCTTCGCAATTCTTATAATTAACGCCAAAATCACTAACAGTTAACAATGGCTGAAGTTAAATTCCTGGAGCATAAACACATTCTCTTAGTCCCTTGAAAAAAAAAATAGTTTTATTACTTTTATATCTGGATTCATACTCCGAGCAGTAACTAAATATGCGGCAGCGGTGGAAAAAAATAGATGAAGCAGAGAACAGGAAAATAAAACTGTATTTCTCAATCCCGAGCTAAGCTGGGCAATTAAATTTACTCTCCTATGAGATTTAGTTAAACCTAAAGTTTGCTAGTGGGCTGAATCACCGTATCAGGAAATTATGTTTGTCCAAAATATGTGTCAGCTAACCATTTAAAAAAAAAAAAAATTTAGAAAGCTCTGTTCAAGATTTTTGTGTTATGATCGAAAAGAAAAAAAAAATTTAAAGCATTGTTTTAATAATGAACACTGGTTTTTATAAGTGCACACACCTATGAGATTTAGATAAACCTAAAGTATGCTAGACATTTGTTAATCACAGTATGCTTAAAAGATGTTTGTCATTTTATATGAATCAGCTAAGTGTAGTAAGTAAAAAAAAAAAAGTTTAGATCCCTTTTCACGCCTTTCGGTGCATCGGGCATATGGGCAGAAAAAATCCCAATTTTTTACAGACCATCAGCACTCTGTGGGTAATCTTCAGAGTCAGCATTAAAATAATAATGTCTTACAGACTTTCCCAGACAGCCCATCCTGGTACCCATTTTAGGCTGGGTGGACCTGCGACGTCGTAATTTTAGTAAACCTTCGTTAGAATCGCCAATTTCCATTCAAAACTTTGCTGTTTCTTGTGTTTTTACTGTTGCTTTGAAATACATAATAAACACAAAATTATTGTACAGTCGTAACAGAAACATTGAGTCTTATTATTGTGTGCGTCTCTTATATATTGTTTTGAAAGAACTCCCCAAATGTGACCACCTTTCTATGCTTGACGGCATCTCCATGCTGACCCCATTCTCAATTATATGATGGTTACCACATATTTTCAATGAAAAACTACCTTTAAATGGTGACCACTTCTGTGTTGTGTGTTGATCACTTGGAATATGATAGTAGATCACTTTTCGCGTCTTAGGCGCATCGGGTAAATGGGAAGAGCGTCCCATATTTTTACAGACCAATCGGCACTGGGTGGGTAATGTGGTCAGCATTACGCCGGCTGTCTTTAACTTTCCCAGGACAGCCATCATGGTTACCATTTTAGGCTTGGTCGACCTCTGACCATGATAAAAATCCACGCAGCCAGCAGTGGGTTTCTTTCGATCGCTGTACATTGGATTACGACTCAGACTCGCGACACCTAAGCCACGGACGCCGCTTGGAATATGATAGTGAATAGTAATTTACCCTCTGTACTGTAGTCAGTACAGAGGTCCTAACCAAGAGTCTGAATATGCACACTGTTGCAGTTTAAAAAAAAAAAAAAAACTCTGTATTCCGGCCGACTTCCTTTAATAGTAGGATTATGCGTGAATTCATATGATGCTCTTTGTCCAATATAAGTTTCTCAAGGAAGTATAGCAGTACGGTAAGCCTCATGCCGTATGTTGACCACCAACATATGTTAACTGGTTTATTTCACAGCGTCTTTGGCTTAGGCGTTGTAAAAGGCAAAAGTGCTTTGTAATTCCATAATACCGGGTTCGATCCATAATATCGGGCGATTTAGCAGCAGGCTGTCATGCATTTGTTTCAACAGTGGTATCGAGAACCGACCTTCAATAGCCAACTACTGATCGTAAAATTGCTTAATGAAATCATCAACAGACAAAAAAAAAAAAAAAATGCTACGACTGGCCACGACCAGCTCCAGCTGACGGGTAGTGTTGCTGACGTCACCGGGTCGGGCTAACGTTGCGTTAACGCAGCGGTTCTCAAACTTGGTGCCATGATCGTATGCCAGGGGTGCCGCGGCAATAATCAAGAGAAGTCGGCTAAAAATTAACAAATTATTAAAGAAGGCATGTAGATACTTAAAACTTAAAATTTAAGTTGTCTTTCCTCGCCACTGTCGAAAATTGTTTATTTTTTGTTTGAGAACCGCTGCGTTAACACGTCGTTAGCCCGACCCGGTGATGTCAGCAGCATGGCCCGTCAGCTGCACCCGGCCGTGGACTAGCTCTGCAACGTCCTGTAAAATACGCGCAATTAGCTTACAGTTCCTTGGGCTGCCAACCGAATAGAGTCTGCTGTAGATAATGCGCTCGGCCGTCGATACAGCCCTCCGGGTTTTTCACTTTTCTTATTCTGTGATTGCCGCTAGAGGGGGGGTTGATATGACGTGTCATCGTTTACAGACAGGCTGCAATATCTGCGCCCTAGGCCAAGGAAGATTTACTTGGCGCCACAATAAAGTCCTGAATGAGTTAGCGGGCATTGTGGACCAAGCTAGAATGAGGGCCAATGTAGAGCCAGTTCTACGGTTATTCCTTGCGCTTCATCAAGGCTGGGTGGGTCTACAAAGGTACGAGAACTAAAATCGCATACGCTCCATCTGTGCTTGACTGTGCGAAGGACTTGCTACTGGCGGTTGACTAACCTGGCCACGAGAGGTACCCAGAGTTAATCCGAAAGACCGACCTGCGACCCGACATAGTCCTACACTCTACGGAAAAACGTCAGTTCACCCTGATTGAGCTGACCGTGCCGTATGAGTCGCGAATGAACGAAATCCACATGCACAAGCTCGAGAAATACAGTGACTTAGCGGCTGGCCTGAGGAGAGACTAAGCGTACGCAGTACAAATCTTCGCCATCGAGATAGGCGCAAGAGGTCTCGTGTCCACTTCAACGTACAATGTGAATAAACAACTAGGCTTATGAGGGAATGAACGCAAACGAGCACTAAAACAACTGGGCGAGCTTACTGAGAGGACCTCGGTCTGGCTCTGGACACAACGAAACGTCGTGGGGGACGGGCCTCGGTTAGCTGGTCCAGGTGTCTAGTGGAAAAGAATGTCTTATCACTTAAAAGTCCATTGTGCCCGTAGTGTCTGCCAGTGTCCCTCTGCCACCTGCCAACAAAGTCCAACATGTGTCCGATAAACTAAACGTAAGCTTGCCACTTGGTCGTCCAGGTAAGCAGACTGCTTTAATTACGTTACCGCAACGATTTCATATCTCACAGTACCTTTTACAAAGTCACAAACTCGTCTTGTCTCTGTCCGATAACATCCGGTAATACCCTGAACCTCGTGAACTCAAGTGGGCCCACTATCAAGAAAATGTCTAGGAGCTCTTGGGCCGAAACATTTGTCGATGAGAGAGTACTTCTACTGATGATTGGTAGACTCCTGCTGTACATGCTCCCCTGTGGAGTTCTTATTATTATTATATCAACACCTACGACCACTCGACACCCCTAAAGATAAGTTGTCATTGTAGGTCAGGAATATTTTACAGCTTGAATCAAACCGCAACGGAAATACAATCCTACTGAGATTATCTTATCTTTAAGTCCTGTTGCGATTGGCGAGCTATGAAGGCGTAGGCATGGACCAGTCTCGAAAGCCAACAGCAACGTTTGCCGACTTGCGTCAATATTTGGGGAACAAATGATGTATCCGTGCATACAAACAGACATATGTACAAAGAAACTGAAATATTAATACTGTTCTACTCGTACACAACTTTAACAGTCAACGTGTACACTGTGCGTTGTTTGTGTGTGTTTGAGAGAAATGACCCGAAAAGGATTGGGGGGGGGGGTGGAGAAATGCTTTCAACACCATGCCGGCAGCCTTTACTTCGCATGGCCATTTTAAATATTTTAGGCTCTGTCGACCTCGAAGTCCAGGCCAAATACAAATCCGCCTACATGCGAATTTCTTCTCCATATCTTCTTCTTCTTTTTATTATTATTATTATTATTATTATTATTATTTGCGTTCACTGGCTATAAATTTAGTAGAAAGTTCTGGTTGTTCGTCCACGTCTAGACTTTGGTAATTAAAAACCAGTAGAGAAACAACGCTCGAGTCACATATATAAGTTTCCCTTAACTTCTAAGTAGCAGCTGATGTCCCATTAGCTGAAAATATTAATGATGTGACATCGGATTTAACAAATACACTGCCATCTACATTTCCTATTTTGTTTCGTGTTTGATTAGCTGTCAAGTGAACCGTGAAACAGTTCACCTGGTTTTGGCGGACCGCAGGTGTAAAAAGGTTGAGAAACACTGATGTGAACTATTACTTGTTTCACAAATTCACTCTTCTTCGGAGCACACCCCCCCCCCCCCCCCCCCAACCCCGCTCCAAACTATTATGTTGATTCGTTAGTCGTATACTAACATGAGAAACACTAGAGAACATGACTGGACAATATTAGTGGTAGCAAACGCTAAAAGAAACACTGAGAATAGATGTTGGTCTAAAATGGTGGTATATGGGGGGGGGGGGGGGGGGGGGCTAAGACACCAAAAATCGTAATCAACATTCAGAAAAGCGCATGATGATGATGAATTCAATCAAGCCACACTTTGTACTTTCTAGTTTGTTAAAAACTATAATCCCGGCGCTTTGTAGCAGACGAGGAAGTTCGGACTTGTTTGGGTTTCGTCATTCGTCGTGTACGAAAATAAATGTTAATCACAAATATCGACTGGCATAAATAAAAATAACCTTATTCTAATACGAGTTTTAGATTGGTAAGTAGTATTGTAGTTATTTATTAGTCTGTAATAATATCAATTTAAAAAATATCAAATTGGCAGTCTTCGTTCTAGCTATCTCAGATGACAGTATCTGTGTCTATTGCCATATTGATATTGGACTATTGCTATGTTGTGTCTCAGGTCTGTGAGAGTACGTGTGCTTGTGTATGTTGTGCTGGTGTATGTTGTCTATGCGTGTATTTAGGTGTTATGACAGTGTGTGTCTGTATTTTGTATACGCATTTATGTTAGGTCTCTGTGTAAGTTGTGTTTATGTGTATGTCAGCTGTCCTCCGAACTTTGTCCCCATATTATGGCGGCAAAACAAATACCTTAACAGGGTTTCAGTCGTGTGTAAAATCCGGAGTGCCTGCTGAGGAACAAATCGCGGCAAAACTAGGATTGCCTCCGAATAACGGGCCAATATTATTGAGGACAAACAAATACTCGGCTCTACTTGCAGATTTGGCCGGCAAGCTGGACTGCGTCGGTCGGCTTAGTGGGGCTTAGTGGGAGTTATGTCCCTTCGCCAAACTCAAAACAAGTCGCGGAAAAAGTCACGAATCAAATGACATACTTACCTATCATCATCCGGGTGCGTGTAGGGTTGCGTACGGTTGCGTCTAGGTTTACCTATCATCCTACTGTTGCGTGTAGGGCTGCGTAGGGTGTCTATCATCGTCCTTCGGTTGCGTGTAGGACTGCTTATTGCGTGTAGGTTGGTTGTTTGCGTAAGATGAGGGTTAGGGTTAGGGTAAGGGGTTAGGGTTAGGTCATGATGATGTACTACTGGCTCTCCGGCGTAAGTTCAACGACTGTCATGGTCTTTGAGAGACTCACGTGCTGGTCCACCATTGTCAACTACAACAATTATTTCCGTCAGGAATGCTATAATTGGATGTTGAGACACATCGTGGAGCTGGGAGGACTCGATGAGACCGGCAGATCTATCGTGATCCAAGTAGACAAGAGCTACTTCTTCCGACGAAAGTATCAGCGCGGTCGCATCCGTCACGGTCGTTGGGTCGTAGGGCTAGTAGAGCGTGAGACTGGCCGTTGCTACTTGGAGCTTGTGCGAAAACGAGAAAAAAGGATCATAACAGATCACCTACTGCCGAGAACGACCATCGGGACTGACGCTTGGCTAGGCTACAGCAACGTCGCAAACTTAAGGCATGGCATCTATCTGCACGAGGTAGTAGTCCACCAGACCAACTTCGTCGACATCGCGTACAGTCACATACACACACAAACAATCGAAGGCCTGTGGATGCTAGTGACACGAACAATTCGCCAGCGACTCGGCACCAGCCGCCCGCTATTGGCGTCATATTTGGCAGAGTTTCAGTGGCGCCACTCCCACAAGCGTCAGATTGTTGGCCACTATTTCGACCTCCTACGTGAAAATTTTCACATCTAACCATACCCCTAACCCTAACCCCTAACCCCTATCCCTAAACCCTAACCCCTAACCCTAACCCTAAACCCTGACCCTAAACCCTAAACCCTAACCCTAAACCCTAACCCTAACCCTACCCCTCATCTTACGCAAACAACCAACCTACACGCAATAAGCAGCCCTACACGCAACCGTAGGACGATGATAGACACCCTACGCAGCCCTACACGCAACCGTAGGATGATAGGTAACCCTAGTCACAACCGTACGCAACCCTACATGCACCCGGATGATGATAGGTAAGTATGTCATTTGATTCGTGACTTTTTCCGCGACTTGTTTTGAGTTTGGTGAAGGGACATAACTCCCACTAAGCCGACCGATGCCGGCCAAATCTGCAAGTAGAGCCAAATACTCTAATAGGGTCTCAGCGATATGTTAATTGCGGACCTGTTTCTGCAACAATTGCTGCACTGTCGACAGTATCCCTCACGCCGCTACGCACGGCGCTCATGGGGGACTGAACTAGATGGCTGGGACTCACGAGCAAATAATTTGGAGGAAGTTGCAGGAGATGCAGTAGCTGCTGCTCTTGAGTCTCAGTCATCTAGTTTAGCCCTCCATCCGCGCCACTACGCGCGGCGTGGGGGAAACGCTCGGTGGTGAGTTTAATCGGAAAAACACTATCACTTACTTGCGTCAGAGCGCATGGTCTCCCCGCTGTGTTGCTATTATTATGTGTATTGTTGCGTTTCTCGAAATTGTCAGTGGACAGTAATCCTAGTTTTGCCGCGATGTGTTCGTCGGAGAAGTCTGCATTTTACACACGTTTGAGGCCCTGTTAGGGTATTTGTTTGGCCGCCATATGGGGACGAAGTTCGGGAGAGCCTGTATGTCTTCTGTATATTATTGTGTGTGTTTCTCTGTTTATGGTGTGCTTGTTGTGTACGATGTATATTTGTTACATGCATACTTGAAGGTATGCATTTGTCATCCATGGGTTTGTATTTTTTTCTTTAGATTCTTACTTTGAATTTTGATATGGTAACATAATATGCTTCTCACACGCACACACATATGTATTTTTATATATATAAAAACATTTAAACTGCAGTATGAAAGATGAATGCTAGGCCTGAGTGCCCAATTTGTAACCCTTTGAAAAAAAAGTTCATTCATTTGTTCTCACTATCTCTCTTTTGCTCCTCTCTCTCTCTCTCTCTCTCTCTCTCTCTCTCTCTCTCTCTCTCTCTCCCTCTTTCTCTCTCTCTCTCTCTCTCTTGATGGCAGTCTTATTCCTAATGACTTGATTCATCTTTTTCTTCTTCTTTTGTTCGCCTGAAATAAGTTGTCTATATCAGTAATTTTGTCTCTTGTATAAATTTCACTGTCGTTAGTTCATTCAGTGGTCTATAGAGTTTACGTTCCACTGTTGTTCTTTCTGACCAAAAGGTTTGCCTTAATTTGTCAAATTAGGTGCAGTCCTATAGTACATGCTCTGCTGTCTGTCTCACCTTTCCACCGGTGCACATGGCTGATACACCTATCTTGAATTTTGTATACATGTGGTTACGTAATCCATTGTACCCTGTTCTGAGGCTGAGGATTATGACTTGTTCTGATCTGTAAATAATAATAAAATAGTCGTCTTGTGCTGGGGCTGGTGGTTTCCTGATTGATTTAATGATTCTTTTTTTTTTTTTTTGGTGGTATGTGACTGGTACATCCGGCTGCACTTTTGTTGCACCTTCTCCTGCCAGTTGATCAGCTTTGTCATTTCCAGGCACTCCATAATGTGACAGTATCCACCGCATTATCCACCTGGTTACAGCATGCCAAAACGTCTGACCACTTCAACTGCAGTGTTAGTCTGACGCACTCATGGCTTTAGAATGGTTATTGCCTGTGCCTCCTTGAGCATCCTCTGTCAAAACTTTTTTGGTGCTGAAAGAGTGAACTCATTGTATCCGAATTGTTAGTTTGACATCTCTTTTCTCATGTTGTCTCTTTTGTAACTACGTGAGATTTAAATATCTAGTACTTTCAAGTATAGCATCTTAGAATATAACAAGTTTAAGTAACAACTGCCTGGGACTGAAAGAGTTAAAGGTACAATGGCCTTATTCTTCCCCCTTCCCCAGATAGGGCCTTAGCACCTATATGGGGGCAATGCTTTTAATTACGTTTAATTGTAGCTGAGTTTGTTATTTTAAAGAAATTGACTGCTCTTTTCTATTTTCATTGTGTGTGTGTGTTTTTTTTTTTTTGTGTGTCTCAAGAATCATTTTTAGCCTGATTCTGAAATAAAAGTAAGCATACAATTTGAATGAAATGAAAATGTTGTTGACGTTTTTACATTCATATAAATAATTTCATGTTGTACTCAGTGAGGGCGTCATTGGTGTATTCTTTCTCTCTCTCTCTCTCTCTCTCTCTCTCTCTCTCTCTCTCTCTCTCTCTCTCTCTCTCTCTCTCTCTCTCTCTCTCTCTACGTCTCTCTCTCTCTCTCTCTCTCTCTCTCTCTCTCTCTCTCTCTTTATGTTCAGATTATTTCTGGGACACTGATTGACACCACACTTTATTATTGTTCAGCTGAACCAGATCCCTAATTGAGTCATTTTCTCTTTTTTTAAGGGTCCCAAATTGAAGCAGGTCAAGTGAAATGCAGACCAACCTTACCACATAGAGAAAATCCAAAGCATTTAGCTTTACCTAATTAAAATTGTCAGTTGTTTTTCAGAGTTGCATCTTTCTATAGGTGACTTTGTGTAGTTCTGTCTGTTGAGTTCATTTGGGAGCTGACAAGACATCCTCATCTTCAGCCTTTGCAGAGTTCCAGTACCAATGAGGCCAGTAGCAATTTGATTGTATGTTCATCTAGAATTTCCTATCTGTTGAACACTTGTTTTGCTTTGTTAAGAAATGTTAGTTTCCTGAAGAGAATGCTCTGTTGTGAATAACTGTCGTTAATTCCTAAGTGGTTATACTCTCTTTGTACATCACAATAAAGTGAACAGATTTGACACATGTACTAGAAATATATTTTCATGTTAGAGTTGGAGTAGGGAAAACCTGACCAATAGAGAATGTTATGAATTGGTAAATGTTTATGATGAAATGCCTAGATTTTGTCTCAATAATCAAAGAAAATTTAAATCCTTATTTTATCCACTGCGCATTTTTGTTACTATTTTAGAAACAACTGTTTAGATGTACAGATATAACATAGAAATTGTAAGTGTATAAAATTTAATTTTTTTGGAATAATCTAGGTCATTGACTAATTTATTTGTATTTTTCTGCAGATGTGAGTTCATGTCATCCTTACCCACAGCCACATAGGACTGTAGGTAAAACCTGGCTGGAGTGGCCATCACAGATACCCTCGTTATAACTTCTTTGGAGGTTAAACAAGATATCCAGGATTTGCTTTGTTGGTCTGCCATCCATGCTGTGATTTGTTAATCTTTAAACAGCTTCCTGAAGGGGACAAAGCAATCGATTAAGTGCTGATATGAACAAAAAGAATTTCTCAAATATCATAAATGTGAAGGATAATAATGTCTTTAGATATGAATGCTTGCTGTAAATTGTTAACTAGGAGGAAACGAAAAGTGTTTCTTTTAGTTTTGGTTTTTATTACATTTGTGTATTTTTTGTTGATGTCCTATTTGGCCTGTTGTCAACTGCCACAGCAAGGAAATGTTCTGTCATCATACGTGTTGGATCCTAATGGACGAACACTGTATGAACAAGGGGACAAGCGAGAGATCAGGGGTGCCCGTAGTAAAAGTACGAACTGCAGTGAGCAAAGAAATTTTGTTTTCATCAAGACTATGAAATGTGCAACATCAACTCTTCATGGGGTATTTTATCGCTTTGGCTACACGCGAAATCTTTCATTTGTATCTCCTATCAGAAAAATGATATATCTGAACTGGCCATTTCCAATGACCATGCAGGATTTCAGACCATCCAGTCGCGGATACAACATCCTTACAGACCATGTCATTTACACTGAAGATGTTATGGACAAGATCATGCCGGCAGATACAGTCTACATTAGCATCATTCGAGAACCCTTTGCCCACTTTAAATCAACATTCCATTATTTTAATGTTGCCAAAATTTCTGGTGTTCCAGCAAATGTTACAAATCCTATTGTTGAGTATTTGTCTCATCTGGAAAAGTATGAACCAGCATATATGTCTCATAAAGCTAAAGAACGATGGTGTGTTCCCAATGACTTCTCCATAACCAAGAACATGCTCTCACACTCTCTAGGAATGCCTCTTGGTTTTCCACCAGGAACTATAAACATTACAGCAGATGAGGTCTCAGTTGAGCAATATATCAAGCATTTGGACTCAAAGTTCCAGTTAATATTAATTGTTGAATATTTTTATGAGTCTGTGGTACTGCTACGTAGACTAATGTGCTGGAGTTTCAGAGATATTATATTTATTAATTCAAATACTGGGGATTATGAGTACAAGAACGCCTCAGTGCCTGAATCCATCATAGATATTCATAGGAAATGGAGTAGTGTGGATTATAGACTGTATGATTATTTCAATAATACATTTTGGAAACGTGTTTCTCTACAAGGAGCAGATTTTTATTCTGAAGTTGAAGCATTTAAAAAGGTTGAAGCACAAGTGAAGAATTACTGTTTGACATTATATCAAACATTCACAAGAGACGAGTTTCCCTTTAATATGACAAAGACAACTGTGTCAGCTTCACTTTGGAATGAGCAGTTTTCTGTGACACACGATGATTGCTGGATGCTGGGTCCTGACCCGAATGTTCTTCATCGAGTTGTTCAGAAAGAGAATGATCTGAAAGAGGCAAACCTTTTGTTAGAGCAGCAGAAAATTCTGGACAATAGAACCTTGAAAGGAGTATGCTGATACATAAAAAGTATACTTTTCGTCTTCAAGTGATGTGCTGACTGGTGTGGGCGATCATGCTTTTTTACAGAGCATCGGGCATATGGGGAGAGCACCCATATTTTACAGACCAATCAGTTCTAGGTGGGTAATGTGGTCAGCATTATGCTGGCCGTCTTCACTTCCCCAGGACAGCCATCCTGGTACCCATTTTAGGCTGTGTTGACCTGCGACGCCCCATACCATGATAAAAATCCACGAAGCCAGCAGTGGGTTTCGATCGCGGTATGTTTGAATTACGAGTCAAACTCGCAACGCCTAAGCCACAGACACCGCATCAGTTCATGTGTTGATACCTGTCCGAGGCATGATGAAGATTGTCAAGAATCTTATCATGTTGTCTTCATCAGTCTCTATTCCCCAGAATGGCTCCAATTGTAACAACATGGTCCAGTTTTTCTCACATTATGTGGCTGGAAAAAGCAAACTATCTTTTTAATGTTTGTGATAAGTTGTCTTTTTTCCTAAGCATATTTCAAAAACTGTTAGATTACTTCTTCTTAGTGAACTTCAGTGCAGTTCTGGTTGTCTATACTTTGGTCCTTTTCCATAGCTTGAGTTTTACATGCACATCCATTTTACAGATCAGGCTTATTTGTTTAGATTTCTTATTTTGGTTGTGGAAAGAATTATAACTATTCATCTGCAGAGCCACATCTTTGAGACCTGGTGGGATTTATTTACTTGTTTAGTAATTGTCCAGGATTCACAACCATACTTGAAAACTGGTTCTGTGTGACTTGCAAAAATTCTTCTAATTGATCCAAACGTTAAGTCTTTGTATACATCCTGTCACTTGGGCACAGCTTGTCTTAGTAAGACTAACAGCTTTATTTAGGTTTCAGAGCTAATGAGGAGAAAACTGAACAAATTTCAAGAAATAAGGGAGTGAAAATTGAGTGACGCTGACTAGGACATACTGAGAAGAAAAGGGATAATAAAGTTAACTAGGATGTCCTTACACTGGAACCCGCAGAAAAAAAAAAGAGATTTAGGGTGGCTTAAAAATACAGAAGCAACAGAGTAGATTTTTTATGTTTGTAATAGGGCTGTACCGAATATTTGCTTCGTATTCGCTTCGGGGCCGAATAGTGGACCTATTGACTATTCTGTATTCGGCCGAATAGTTGCGGTCGGGCCGAATACGAATAGTAGTTACTTTACACCCTTCTGCATACAAGGCCTTAATGCTGACAACATGAAACGATTGGTTTTGCTGAAAGCTAATGCAGCTTTACTGCATTAACTAAGCTGTCGGTGACAATTTTCAAGTTTAATCACTTGTTATAATACTTAGGATTCTTTCATTCCTAGTTATTAGTTACCACAGACTGACTGAAGGATGCAAAACATAAAATGTTTCTAAATGCTTACTATTCTGTACTAATACTAACTAGACATGGAAAGAATATAAACTCCGGCCACATCCAAGTCGATAATATAAAAATCAAACGAGCGGAAACGTATAAGTACTTGGGTGCAAACTTCAACTGCTCTAACATGCTGAGAAAAGAAATACAATCTAGAATACAATCTAGAAATAAAGTATACTATGCCCTTAAACATTTGCTAAAGTCAAAGTGTCTGACTCGCAACACCAAGATCAAAATATATAAAACGTTGATAAGACCGGTCGTTTTATATGGCTCTGAAACTTGAAGCAGAAATAAAAGAGATGAGGCCTTATTATAGGTTTTCGAAAACAGTCTTACGACAAATCTTTGGACCCATCAAAGATGCAAACAGCGGGGATTGGAGAGTGAGAAGCAACAACGTAACACATAATCTGTTTAAATCACCATTGATCACTTGCATCATGAGAGCTAACAGACTAAAATTGTTGTGGCATATTGAAAGAATGTCAGATGACCGAGAAGTAAAAACTGTATACACATGAGAGAGGAATGGGCGTAGACCACGAGGCAGACAAAAAGAAATTCGAGAGATAATGTACAGCCAGACCTGCAAACAACAGGTGTCACACATTGTGAGGAGAAGACCAGCCAGAGAGATGAATGGAGACGAGTGATACCTGCAGCAGTTAACCTCAAGGGCTCAGAATGCTAAAGAAGAAGAAAACTGTTCTGTGCTACTTTATGTGAAGTAAAAGTTCAGCGTACATTTGACATTATGAGTGTGTGTGTGTGGTTTTTTTTTTTTTTTACATATATTTTATAAACTATACACTATTCGTATTCGGCCGAATAGTGAAAATCACTATTCGGTACAGTCCTAGTTTGTAACATCATCAAATAGTTGACTAAGACTTTTTTGGGGGTTTTAAAAAAGCCTTGCATTGTTTGAATTTTATAAATAAACAGATATTGAATGTCTTTGGGCTGATCAAAGATGTAAATAGTGCAGAATGGAGAGGGAGAAGCAGTAATGAAAATTCATAATCTGTTTAAATCACCACTAGTTACTGGCACCTGGCTACTAAGCTGTAATTTATGGGGCAAATAGAGAGAATCACAGATAACAGAAAGACATAAACTGTGCATTAAAAAGACGGTGGGTAAAAAATATCCAAGCAGATCTACAAACATTTGGAGTCACCAGCCGGAAAGATCAGGCCATTAACAGAGATGAGTGGAGGTAGTTGATATCTGCAGCAGTGAGCCTCAAGGGCTCAGAATAATGAAGAAGAAGGGTACTTATCACAGGAGTCACCCCATTTCACTTGCGCACAAGATTTCCTGCCGACTCCCTTTTATGTTGTCCTAGTTCCCACATCTGTCCTATGTTGTGGGGGGGCATTACAACGAGGCTTGCTTCGCCGCCATGTGTAAACACCATGTTGAAAAGTGGTTGCAGCAGATTTGTTTTCGCAACTCTGTTTTCTGTGAACGGTAGGTCTCAGGCACCAAAGGCGCCTGCATACATACCAAAGGTGCCTGCGTACAAGGAACAAGTACTGCAGGTGGAAGTGCTGAAGGCGTGTTGCTTCGTGAGTATCGAATCTGATGTTTTTATATTATTACTCCTTGAATAATTTTAAGTTAATATTTCATATGTTGTTGTTTACATTTACAACTTTGCTATGTCTGGTTTGTTTATGCTTTAGTATATGCTGATATACTCTGTCGTGATGACCTGATGTGATGCAGTGAAATATGCCAGGCAGTAAAGTGTGAAATAATTGTGTCCACATTATTTAAGTAAAATTTGGCTGGGAATAGGTGACTTTTTCACAGGTAGATCACATTTGTAATTTATCAGAAATTAGAGTCCTAAAAATAAATGAGTCATGGTAGCACAGTGGCTAGATGTTTGCCTGACTGCTTAAAGGTCCTGGGATTGAATCCACATCATCAGATGTTGTTTTTTTAAATAACTGACCTTGGCTTCAAAGTCAGCAGAGGCTTAAATGGGAACCTGGAAATATCCTAGGAAGTAAAGATGGATGGCGTGATGTTGACAGCATCACCTATCAAGTGCCGATTGGTTTTTCTCCCCTTTACCATTCACCGGTTGTAAATGCCAGTATCAAGTTATATTTGTTCTTCTACTTCTGGACTTTGGTCTTGTTCCAGAACTTGAGTTTTTCCCTGCTCATCCATTTTAGAGATCTCACTTATTTGTGTGCAGACTGTTGGTTCCTCGCCTCTCAGGAAGATACACTCAGATTTCAAAATAAACACTCCTGATTAGTCTTTTACTACAATCTTTTTGTGGGGTAGTTGGCTCTGTTCCCCCCCCCCCCCCCCCCCCCCCCCCCTCCCCTCAAATATAGGTCCCCAGAACACACACATGAAGTGCTATATTTTCTTTTATAGATAGCAGATGTTCTATAGATAATCTGGTCATCATATTGCTGGCCAATCTGGCAAATTAGGCATAAAGTGCTAGATCTTTTTTTAATAGTCCAGTCTGTGTTCTATAGATCATTTGGTCAACATCATGCTGGCCACCTTTAGTTCCCAGGACATTACCTGGTACCCATTTTAGTCTGGATCGAACAGGGAGTTGAGATCAAATTGGAAACATGTGTGCCTTTGTGCAGATTTGTTTCTTTACTTTTCATTTTTTAAATTTTTATTTTTTGTGTGCTTTGTGCCACTAGATGACGCAGGTTACCAGATGGTCGGTTTCCAAGCTAGGGCAGGCTGGGTTGTCCGGTATGCTGTGATGTTGAGTCTCCAGATATCTGTGACTCCTTCAGTCCATCTTCATCTTGGTTGTCCCCTTTCTGCTTTCATGTTGTATGCTCTTGTTGCTAGCATCATTAGATTCATTCTTTTTAAATGGCCAAACCATTTAAGTCTTTGTTATTCAATGAATGTTTTTACTTTTTATTTACATATTATTAATATATATTGTTATAGGCGGCTCACACACATAAGTAAAAATAAAATGCATTGTAACTACAGTGATAACATTGAAGCATTAGAAAAGTGACATTCGTGAGCCACACTTGAGATTGGAGGGGTCCACACTTGGTTTATGAACACTGTCTTTGACAGGCCTTGTGAAAAATAATGTGCCACCTTAAGATTATATACCACATGTTTGTGTATATGTTTATAGCTGACACAGTTTTGCTATGACTGATTTAATTTTACAATATTTATATTCTGTTCAACCTTGGGCAGTTGTCCATGTTTTTTTTCTGTAACAACATATACCTTTTCACATTCATGTAAACAATGTTTCTCTAATCAGCCATATTCTACAGAGTATTTTACTGTTGAATTTTTATGATCTCATCTGTTTATATTCAGGTTGTAAATAGAATATTCATAAAATTAAATGAGCAGGCAGATAGACTGGCCGGTTCTGCAACTGTTGGTGATGAACTGATGTATGACAAGCTGAACGTTGTGAGGGCCCTTTGGGAGTGAGTGCACAGTGCAGAGGTACAAATAGATCATTACGGTATGATGAGAAGGGCACTGCGAGGAGTTACAAGGGGATCTGGCCGACATTCGACACTCAGGGGAAAGGTGAGGCGGATATACAAT